GTGTGAGTGCTTGTGATGGAGGGGGCTCTAAGGGGGCTCAGGTGAGCGTCTGTGGCCAGAACGTGTCTCCATGTGTGAATACATGTGGCCATGTGTGTGCACGTGTGAGTGGAAACACATCTAGGTGTTCATCAGTATTTGAGGGGTATGCCCACGTGTGGGAACACAGGCCAGTCTTTCTCTAAACCCTTGGGGCCATATGTATTTCAGAATTAACTATGTTCAGATTTTCAAAGGTTAATATGGGGAACATATCATGGATTACATAACTCTCCCAGCAGCGTTTGGGGTTAACACTGGCACCAAGCCCTACGATTTCTGCAGCAAAAAGGTTTCCTGTTTCTACATTAGCTTTTTGGACTAACTTTAACCCTTTGAGTGCCAACCAATATCCTAGGAACTATGCTAAAATTGCCAAGGCATTTTTGCTGATTTTACAGCAGTTTAGGAAAAAAATTATGACTCGCAAGTAAATGAAGCTACATATTCAAGATCTTCCACAAAATCGTCATCTTCACAGCAAGAATTGACATATTTAGCAATAGCATCATCACTAATAAAAGCAGACTTAGAACTGGACACTGCAGGAGGTGCGCGATAGCGCTCCCGGCACTTTTGGCGAAAGACAGGAGGAGCGAGATTGCGCTCCCCGGCACTCTAGGGATTAATAAAGACTTAAATAGCCCTGGCTGGTTTGGTTCAGTGGATAGAGCATTGGCCTGCGGACTGAAGGTCCGGATTCCTGAAGGTCCGGATTCGATTCCAGTCAAGGGCACATGCCCAGGTTGTGGGCTCGGTCCCCAGTAGGGGGCGAGCAGGAGGCAGATCAATGATTCTCTCTGTGTTCGTATCCCTGTGTGCATTTGATTGAGTGCATGCATTTACAGTGGGGCCTTGACTTACGAGTTTAATTCGTTCCGAGACCAAGCTCGTTAAGGAGATTCAATTCCAGTCAAGGGCACATGCCCAGGTTGTGGGCTCAGTCCCCAGTAGGGGGCGTGCAGGAGGCAGATCAATGATTCTCCCCGTGTGCGTATTCCTGTGTGCATTTGATTGAGTGCATGCATTTATGTGTGTTATGTGGGTGGCTATGGTTTTATCTGTCAAGGTGAGAATATGAGTTTTTTTACTGGTGTCTGTCTGTGTGGGGGTGGCTATTAGGTGAAATTTGGGTTACGTTTCGGAGGCATCCTGGCCATGGAAATATGCTGCCCTCCGCCCTGCTGCCCCTCACAGGGGCAAGGCCTTCCCCTCTGAGGCCTGTTTAGCCTCCTGTTCCCTTTCACACCTGTTGTCTCCAGGTGCCGGGCGGAGCTGGGTGTGGGATCTGGGCCTTTCCCGGCTTCTCTCTGCAGGGGCTGAGCAGGCCCCTGTAGTTGGGGAGAGGGTCCCAACCCTGTATCTGAGCTCCATTTTGGAAATCAGCCCTGAGTCTCCCCCCACTGCCCCATCAGGCCATTTCCCAGGCCTCACACCCCACTTCCCCAGAGCACCCAGCCCTGAGGCCCTCCTGGGAGGGGGCCAGCCCTGCCCAGGGTGCCACGTCTGTACCCTCTTCTGTCTTCTCCCTCCTGGCCAGCCCTTTACAGCCACAAGCCTGAGGTGGCCCAGTACACCCACACGGGCCTGCAGACCATGCTCATCACCGACACCACCAACCTGAGCGCCCTGGCCAGCCTCACACCCACCAAGCAGGTAAGGCCCAGGGCTGCCCTGCCCCCGCCTCGGGTCCCTCCTCAGAGAACACCCTGGGTCTCAGAAGGTGGCTCTGTTCTCCAGGTCTTCATCTCAGACACCGAGGCCTCCAGCGAGTCTGGGCTTCACACGCCAGCATCTCAGGCCACCACCATTCACATCCCCAGCCAGGACCCTGCTGGCATCCAGCACCTGCAGCCTTCCCACAGGCTCAGCGCCAGCCCCCCAGGTGAGGGGCCTCTCCCTGCTGGGTGTGTACAGGGGTGGGGAACGACCGGTCCGCAGGCAGGATAAGGCCCACAAAATCATTTGGCCTGGCCCTGCCAAGGCACTAGGTGTGAGTTAAACATTTGACCAAATATAGCAGACTAATTTTTAAGTTGATAATTGTGTGTGTCCCACGAATGTCGTATCCAAATGGCCCTGGGCACAAAAACGGTGGGGCAAACTGTGAGTTGCGGGTAATGAGGCAGATCTTGGAGGGCACCCTGTGCTCCCCTGAAGTGAGCCAAGAGGGGTGTGAAATCACAGGGAAATGAGCACATCTTACAAAATCGTATCTCATTGACTGGGTTGAGGAAAAGAGACAAAGTCGTGGGAAGAGGAGTAACTGCGCTGGTCGGGGGCCAGAAGTGGCTCATGGATACATGGGTGTGGTTCAGGGTTTAGCATTCTTTGAATCATTGCCAACATTTAAAAATTAGGATTTTTCATTAAAAAATCCAGATTTGACATCTTTTGGAAAATTAGAAGGACTCATGTTTCCACATAGCAACAGAGTGTGGGCTCAGACCACCATGTCCCCCTCAACCCATTTATTTCCATCCCCCTAAGACCCAAGTCTGCACCCTACAGGGTCATGGTGAAGAGCGGGCACTGCCGAGTCCGGGTGCCGGGCTTTGAGGCCTGGGGCGGCCACCTGCTAATGCGCAACTTTGGGCAAGTTGCTGCCCTTTCCGAGCCTCAGGTTCCTCCATCGGCCCTGGTGGCTGCAGGGAGGGCTTCCTGGTCCACGCTCCACGCTCCACCTGAGGAACTGTCATTTTACAGATGAGAAGCAGACACTCAAGGAGGTGAGGGACTTGGCCTTGCCTCGACAGCTACTAGGTGGCAGGGCCAGGACTTGAACCCAGGTCCAAGCTCAAAGCCCATTCTCTTACCCTCAGAATCTGTTGGGCTTCTCCCAAGCCAGAACCAACAGGATACATACCTATTTAAGGGACTGGCTCACGTGACTGTGGAACTAGCAAGTCCAAAAGCTGTTGGGCAGCTTGGCAACGCAGGCAGGAGTTGATGCTGCATCCTGAGGTAGAATCCTTCCCTGGGAAATCACAGCTTTGCTCTAAGGCCTCCCCTGATGGGATGAGGCCCACCCACAGTACTGAGGGACGTCTTTACTGAAGTCAACTGACTGTAGGTGTTAAGCACATTTACAAAACACCTTCACAGCAACACTCGATGAGTCTTTGGGTCAACGACTGGACACTACAGCCTAGCCAAGCTGACACGTAACACTAACCACCTCACCATGTCACCAGCGCTTCTCTAACATTTCCACTAAAATGTTGAGAAGGCCACTCCCTGGGTGGCCCCAGAGCCTGCTGGGGGTCAATAAGACAAGGGCCCACCTCCCCCACCCCCAGTGCCTCAGGGATGGGTGGGAGGGGTCAGGATGGGCGTGGTGGGCAGCCAGCAGCTTCCTTTGCCTCTGCAGTGTCCTCCAGCAGCCTGGTGTTGTACCAGAGCTCTGAATCCACCAATGGCCACAGCCACCTGCTGCCATCCAACCACAGCGTCATCGAGACCTTCATCTCCACGCAGATGGCCTCTTCTTCCCAGTAACCATGGCAACCACCTCCCAGGGGCTGGCACCTGAAGCCTGCCCAGCGACTTGGGGGGTGACCAGGGCATCTGAGCCTGCAAACATCTGCTACTACGGAGCTGCTGCCCTTCCCTAGACAACTGGGCCTCGGCCCCACCCAGCTTGGCCAGTGTCAGAGAGGGAGGGCTCTGAGGTGCCCCCACCCGAGGACTGCCTCAGTGCACAAGGGGGGACTGTGGAAAGCTGGGAAGCGGAGCCTGCTCCTGGCAGGACAGCCCCACCCAGCTTGGCCAGTGTCAGAGAGGGAGGGCTGTGAGGTGTCCCCATCCGAGGACTGCCTCAGCGCACAAGGGGGACTGTGGAGAGCTGGGAAGCGGAGCCTGCTCCTGGCAGGACGGGACTGTCCCTGCTGCTCCTGGTAAATCCTGTCACTTAGAAAAGAGGGGACAGACTCTGGACTCCGGCACGGCCAGCCTGGGCCTCTGGAGAGCCCCAGCACTCCCAAAGGAGCTCTGGCAGTCACTTCTCAGGACACAAGCCTGTGCAGCTGGGCCTCACTGAGCTCTGAGAGGCCTTAGACCATCCTGTCACCTACGCCCTGTCCAGGCCACTCCACCTGCCCCCTTCCTGCGATTAACCCATCTGCCCATTTGTTCCCACCCAGCCACCACTCACATCAGCATTCCGAGGGGCTGTTGCCCTCGAGGAGCTCAAGCGAACGAAGGCAGCAGGGCTCTCAGCTTCCCCCTCCCTGGACCCTGTGACCATGCGATTAACCCATCTGCCCATTTGTTCCCACCCAGCCCCCACTCACATCAGCATTCCGAGGGGCTGCTCAAGGGAACGAAGGCAGAAGGGCTCTCAGCTTCCCCCTCCCTGGGCCCTGTGACCGCGTTTCCTGGGACATTTGTTCCCGAGCATCATGCCTTCCGGTGCCAGCCTGGTATCTTGCCTCTGCTGAAAAGCCCCCAAGGCTAGGAAGGGTCCTCGCTCCTGTGGAGCCTTGCAACTCTGTGCCTGGTGCTAAGTCCTGGGGCAGCGGCTCCTCTGGCCTCTGGGGCCCTGCAGACCCTCCCCTGGTTTGGAAGAGAAGCTGCTGAGCTCAGAAGGCAGCAGGGCCTGAGCAGCTGGCAGAATAGAGATGCCCAGAGGGAGAAGGGAGAGACCAGACCAGCAGAGAGGAATCACCTGTGTGGACAAGCCTGAGGTCCGGAAGCCTGGGGCCTGAGGGATGAGGCGGTCCAGGCAGATGCAGCCCCAAAGAGCCCGAGTACCACCTGAGGAACAAGGTGCCATGTCACCGGGCTCCTGCGACCTCCCCTCCGAGGCTGCTGCGAGAACCGGGCCCTTTAGACCAGCAGTCGCCAACCTTTCGGACCTCACAGACCACCAGTTGGCGACGCTGCTTTAGACCACCTCCATCCTGGGACCAGGAAGAGCTGCATCCCCTGCAGCTGGCAGCCAGCTAAAGACGAGCCTGTATATTATTTAACTTTTAATAAAGTAAACGAGGAACATACTGGAAACTTCTTGCTTGTCCCCCATCGCCCAATGGGGCTGGGCAGGCAGAGGGAGGCAGAGGTGGGCCAGGAGCCAGAGGAGAGATGGGTCCAGCACACGCAGACTCTCAGGGGCCACCTGTCGTTCTTGCTCTGCCGAATCTATGTCTGGAAACTTCTTGCTTGTCCCCCATCGCCCAATGGGGTTGGACAGGCAGAGGGAGGCGGAGGTGGGCCAGGAGCCACCTGTCGTTCTTGCTCTGCCGAATCTATGCGACGATGCCAGAATTTTACCTTAACCTTGGCCTCCTGCTCCTTGAATAGGCCTCGTGCATGAAGCCCAGTCCACAAGGCCTGTGGCACTTCCGTAGCCTGCAGCCGGGGCAGGGACCCTCCTGTGTGGTGCTGATTTAAAATGTCTCATCAGCAGTCAGCACTGCTGGAGGCAGCACCCAATCACTTAGTTCCGTGCTGGGTCTGACCCTTAATTTTCGATAACCTGGTTGGGATATGATCGTGGTATGTTCACAAATGTAGAGAAACTTCTGGAAAATGAGGGGGGAAATCTCTCCTTCTTTTTCAGACAATGTTATATCCAGTCACAGGGCATAGGGGAGAAGCACTAACTCTTTGGGCCTTGACACCTCAGGGACCTCTTCCCTCATTTTCTTAAGACTGTCTCCCACACCAGGCTGAGGAGGAGGGTGGGTCTCCCTTCACTCACCTCCTCCGACAGCCCTGGGGAGATGGAAGCGTCACCGCTCGGCTATCAGCCTTGATAGGCTCCTTCTTCCGAGACCACGGAACGTTCTGGTACCACACGTCTGCCCCAGCCCCAGTGGGAGCACAGGAGGGCAGCCCTTGCTTAGGCTTCTCACTCTACAACCAAGGCTTTGCCCCGACTCTTGGGCAAGCCCCATTCATGGGCAGAGTCTGGACTTACAGCCAAGTCCCTGAACGTGGAGAGGGAGGCAGCACCTGGAAATGCCTCGTCCCAGTGGGCATCTCATCCCGGGGACTAGCTGGGCCCGCCGTGCACCTGGTCAGTGTGCAGACGCGGCTGCTGCGCTCTTCGATGGTGGGAACGGGGAAGCCTCAATGGCCCTCTTTGCCTTTTTCTTCCTTTTCTTCTTTTTGGTTCCAAGTGACACAAGGTCTCCGTTGAGCTTGGCTGACTCCTTTCCCTGCTTCCCGGCTGTGGCCTTGCTTGTGATGGTGGTGGCTGTGGTCAAGTCCGTGCTGGCCTCCTTCTTGGCTTTCTTTTTCAACTTCCTTTTCTTCTTCTTTGCTTCTTTTTCCACCTTGACAGGACCATGAATGGCGGACTCCTGCAGAATGGCAGAGGCTGACACAGCTGCCTCCTGGCACCGCTGCCACTCCTCATCACTGTCCTCACTGCTGCAGGGAGAGGGCAGTCTGGGTCAGCTGGGGCTGGGACTGAGCCCAAAGCTGCCCCAGAAAGCGCCCACGGTGGGTGGGCGGCAGGTAGAGAGCTCCAGTGCTCAGGAGTGAGGCAGACCTGGGTTCCAATACTGCTTCTCTGCTTCCTGGCTATGTGAGCTCATTCAATAACCTCTCTGACCCTCAGTGTCTTCATCTATAAAATGGGGATCTTCGCTGAGCCGAGGCGTCTGGCACATGATGGGTGCTCAAAAGCAGTAACCCTCCAAAGCCAGCCCCCGCTGAGTGTCCTCCCCCCCACGGAGGGTACTATTTCTCGAGCTGCCTGACGGCTCCTTCTTGGCCGGGACCACACCGATCTGCCTGGCTACCCTCAGACACCGGCCAACCCGGAAAATGGGCAAAACCGAGGGGACTTGAAGAGAGGGTGTGTGATCTCACCTGGAGCGGGAAGGCAGTCGCTTTCGGCGGGGCTGGGGAGCAGCTGTCTCCTCAGGGCCTTCGGGGACGGAGGTGAAGAAGAGGCGGAAGCCTAAACCCCAAAGGGGCAGAGTCAGCACTGCCAGGGCCACCTCTCCTCCAGGCGCCAAGGGAGCCCTGCCTCTGCCCTCAGGGAGCACCTAGTCCAGAGGCAAAGACCCAGGAATCGCTCCCGTCTAAGCACAAAAGGACGCCAATGTGCAGAGGGGCCTGCTGACGACGCTGGAGCCAGAGGACGGGGTGCTGAGGCGCCAGCGGCCAAGCAGGCCAGCACGCCCTCAGCGGCGTTTGGGACTCAGCAGTTGAGCCTCCTGCCTAAGGCAGCTTCCAAAGTGGCAATGAGCCTGACACGGGACACACAGACTCGGACGAGAGAGGCTGTGCAGTGTGGTGGTGGGAGCTCTGCTCAGGGTTAGACAGACGTGGTCACCTCAGGCAAGGGCCTTCATTCCTGAGAGCCTCAGCCATCCTTACAGAGAAGGGGGTATCATCATACCTGCCTCAGAGCAGATGCACGGATGACAGAGGGTAATACACCAAAACTATTTCCTAGCTCCAGACATATGATAGGTGCTTACTAAATTACAGCTGATATTAACTGTACTAGAGGCCTGGTGCACAAAATTCGTGCATGGGTAGGGTCCCTAGGCCTGGCCGGCAATGAGGGCTGATTGGGGCCTTCCAGCTGCCAGCAGGGGCCTTCCTTCATTCTGCACCACCCCCTGGTGGTCAGCGCACGTCATAGCAAGCGATCAAACTCCCGGTCTCCCGGTCCCTCCCAAGGGGACACTTTGCACATTAGCCTTTTATATATAGAGATGGAAGATGACTACTCACCATCATCCCCTGGGGTGGCTTTCTGTACCTCAGCCTTTGTTGGTTCCTTCACAGCTTCTGAGATGGTAATGGAGCTAAGGGAAGATGAGATGGTTGATTTAGGATGAAATTTGGGGTACCAACAAAATCTTCTTCAAAAAATAAACACCATTTTTTTTTTTAAGTGTAGGGGATGGGGCATGCAGTCTTAAATGCAAAAGCAGACAGCACACTGGCCTGAAGAAAGCTAACACCCACAGCTACAACCTGCTGAGCAGCTGCTGCCACTCAAACTGCAGGGCTTCATTTGTTTAAGCCCCACTTTATCCCAGAAAACGCTGAGGATTTTTAAGATACTCATAGCACAACAAAATAAACACAATTTCAAACAGGGCTAAGAGAAAATAAACGCCGAGAGACAGAAATAGTCAAAGTGTAGTGAGGAAATCCTATAACACTTGCTTTTTGTTATTGTCTTTTTCAATTTTAATTTAAAAAAATTTTTTGAGATAACTGTAGATTGATAAGCAATTCCAAGAAATAATACAGAGAGATTCCATATACTCTTTTGTTTTTGTTTGTTAATCCTCACCAGAAGATATTTTTTCCATTGATATTTATAGAGAGTGGAAGGGAGGTGGAGAAAAGAGGAGAAAGGAGAGAAGAGGAGGAGAGAGAAGGAGGAGAGGGGGAAGGGGAGGGGGAGAGAGGGAGAGAGAGAAACATCAATGTGAGAGAGTCACACTGATTGGCTGCCTCCTGCATAAGCCCTGACCAGGGCTGGGGACAGAACCTGCAACCAGGTATGTGCCCTTGACCGGGAATCAAAACCATGACCCTTCAGCCCTGACCGGTTTGGCTCAGTGGATAGAGCATCGGCCTGCGGACTGAAGGGTCCCAGGTTCGATTCTGGTCAAGGGCATGTACCTTCCCCTGCCCGCCAGGCAACTGATGGGTAAACACACCCCACCCTCAGCTCCATTCATCCATCACTGGGCTGAACAAGCGGCTCCTGTTAATGAGCTGGGATGGAAGCCGGAGAGAGACTGGAGGAGGTAGGCTCTGTCCACAAACCCACCATCTCCAGACAGAGCCCCAGAAACCTGTGGGGAGGGGGACTCTCTTCCTGTGATGAGGCTAGGTGCCTTCATGAGGAGGGGAGGGGCTGTGTGACTTCCCTCTCTGAGCCCCCAGGGCCAAAATTGAGAGGCCATGGGACAAACCTACCTTGCTAAGCCTCAGTTTGCTCATCTGGAGAGTGGGGAATGTTACCAACTGAGGGCTCATCACTTTCCAAGGACTAATTTACCATCAGAGGTGGAGCTCTGATGGTCTCCATTTTCACCTTGGTTTTAACTGCTACTGTGTAAAAATCTTTAGGCATTTCCATCTTTCAGTTCATCAGACAGAGAGAGCGGGACCGAGGGAGAGAACAACAGTTCCACAGTTAGCCCTGCAGGCAGTCTCTCTCCCGGTAGCACAGACATAGAGCAGGGTGGTCCTTGCCCTGCCACAGTTATCCTGGAAAACAATGAAGATATGGCCGTGCAAAATTGTTCTTAGAAATCAGTATCCATTGAATGTTGCATCATTAAATTTCAGAGGGTTTTCTATTTCTAAAGTTTTTTCTCTCCTGTAGCAACTTTGCTTGCTAACCTTGAGAAGAAAAAATTTACAATATAATAAACTTTTTAAAAAAAATATATTTTATTGCATTTTTTACAGAGAGGAAGGGAAAGGATAGAGAGTTAGAAGCATCGATGAGAGAGAAACATCGATCAGTTGCCTCCTGCACACCCCCCACTGGGGATGTGCCCGCAACCAAGGTACATGCCCTTGACCGGGATCGAACCCGGGACCCTTCAGTCCACAGGCTGACGCTCTCTCCGCTGAGCCAAACCAGTCAGGGCAACTGGTCCGGCATCTTAACAAAATGGTTCGATGTTGGTCCCTTGGAATATTTGGCAATGTCTGTCGACATTTTTGGTTGTCATAACTGCTGGGGGGAAATGCTGTAAGGACCTAGTGGGTGGAGGCCAGGCATGTTGTTGACCACCCTACAATGCACAGAACAGTCCCACAACCAAGAACCATCCAGTCCAAACGTCAATACTGCCAAGGCTGAGAAACCCTGATCTCACACAGGGAAAAACAAAAACTCCGCAGGGAATATTCTGACGCTGCTTGACCAGCATCTGCTGGGTTTCCCCTGGGGCTTTCCATAGTGCCAGGTGGGCCTTGAATACCCTGAAGCCAAACAGTCACAAGGAAATACTGCTTTCACAGGCTGAAGTGCCAAATGACCTTCCTAAACATGTTTCCCACATTCTGTTTCCCACATTCTCGAGTTTGGGACTGGCCCTGTGTCATGGTGGTTCAGGCTGCTGAGTTGTGGTCCAACATTCCGTCTCAGAAGAGCAGTTGGTTTACACTTGGGGAGGGCTCACTTGTCCTTTATGGTACATCCTTCGAAGTGAAGGACTCTGGCTTGAACATCCTCACCTCCCTTTCAAAACCTGCTCTGTCAATCAGGAATGGATCTAGACCAGCGCATCCAGAAACATGTCCTATGTTACATTATCAGTTGTCCACCAAACGAAGGCACTGTAGCCAAATGAGTCTAGAAACTCCTGGGCTGAACAAAGTTACACAGGTCGGTTTACTGCAAGGGCACATGGGGGTATGCAGACTTCTTTGTTGTTAGATCCTTTTTTTCTAGTCACACTTTGGACTAGTATTCCTTGGTGCCTATTTTAAAAATGCTGACCTAGATCTTTATAAATTATACTAGAGGCCCGGTGCACAAAAATTTGTGCACTCAGTGGGGGGGGGGGTCCCCTCAGCCCGGCCTATGCCCTCTTGCCGTCTGGGACCCCTCGGAGGATATCCACCTGCTGGCTTAGGCCCGCTCCCTGGGGGATTGGGCCTAAGCTGGTAGTCAGACATCCCTCTGGCAGCCCGGCAGACCTCGGGGGAAGTCCACTTGTCAGCGGGGAGCAGGCCTAAGCTGCAGCGGACATCCTTAGCGCTGCTGAGGAGGCAGGAGAGGCTCCCACCACCAC